CCCAGGCTCCTCGGGGCCGAGCCCGCGCCTAGGCTGCGCCGCGCTCCGCAACGTGTCCGGCGCGCAGTACGTGGGCTCGGGCTACACCAAGGCCGTGTACCGGGTCCGCCTGCCCGGCGGCGCCGCGGTGGCGCTCAAGGCGGTGGACTTAAGCGGCCACGATCTGGGCAGCTGCGTGCGCGAGTTCGGGGCACGGAGGAGCTGCTATCGGTTGGCGGCCCACAAGCTGCTCAAGGAGATGGTGCTGCTGGAGCGGCTGCGGCACCCCAACGTGCTGCAGGTACGAGGGTGGGGGGTGCAGGGCTGAGGATACTGGCTGGGCGGACACTCTGGCTGGCAGAGGACCCCTTGGTTTTATAGATAAAGAAAACTGAGTCCCAGTGGCTGTGCCCAGGTTTAAGCTAGGGCAGAACCCGGACCATGGCGCTTCCCACTGCACCACCGTGCCTCTCATTCCCGCGTCGGCGTCGCGTGGGCGTCTTACTGAGGTTTCTGAGCTTCCACACCCAAGACACCGGGAAGGGGAATGAGGTGTCCCGTTAGGACTCTGTTCTTGGCTGGAGCTGTGGTATTGAGCACCAGGAGAATGTCCCAAACCAAGACACCCAACAGGAGAGATCAGTCTTGAGTCAGGATCCCCATTCCAGTGATAGGGTCGCCCCTTCTTGCTGGAAGCTGAACCCCATTTCTCTCAACTTCCTAAGAGTAACTTGTCTAGCTTTGAAGATGGGGTGGGCACCACAGTGCAGTTGGGAAGGGCTAGAAAGAGACCCTGTGTCAGGCTTGACTCCCCCCAAGTCTCCCTTATCCTCCCTCCTGCGTAGCCTTCTGGGTTCCAGAAGCCACTGAAAGGACTGGAGGAGTTTGGGGAACAGGCCGGAAACTCACAGCCCCACCCAGAAGTGACCATTTGGGTCTCCGGGCCTTAAAGTAGGTCCTTGAACCATTAGAGAAACCTCAGGGCCTTAGCTTAGTTCTCAGGAGACAGGATGAAAGGCTGAAGGTCACACTGTCTGAGGGTTTGTGGCCAAGAGGATGAAAGGTTGAGAAGGCCAGATGCCCCAGTTCTTACTAAATGGGACTTCTGTTCCCCCTGTTCATAGGGGCCAGAGGGGAGGCATGAGACCACCGCCTTGTCCCTTGGAGGCTAGGCAGTAGAGAGTCGACCTCTCACCATCCCAGCACTGCCCTACCACACCCTACTTGCTCCTCTCCCCCAGGTCTCTGTCCTTGAATCTGCTCAAGGATCAAACAGTCTGTTTCCTTTGCACATGTCTGAGCAGACTGAGAGGGGAACCCCTGACTGCTGTTGGCCTGGGGAGCACAGGGTGTGTGCAGCTCCCCAGCAGAGGAATCTTGCCCACATCTTCCACCTCCCAGCCCACTCAAATGAACCATTCTGCACCCGCAGAACTGACAAGAAGCGCAGGAACCCCTCCCTTCCTTCCTCAGGATTGAGATGGGATCCCAGGCCTGGTAGGGTGAGCATCACAGAAAAGGAGAGATCCAGGTGGTGACTTCATGAGTAGGCTAGAAGGTTCTTAATACTCCTACTGGCCCCCAGTCCCCCCAGGACACCCCAGCTCTGGTCAGACCCTCGTGACAGGGTCCCAGGCCCTGCACTGGTAAGGCAGAGCCAACAGTTGCGTATGGTTACGCCTGGTTGCACAGCTGACTCTATGTGTCTGGAGCTTCGGGGAGTGAGCAGCTGGTTACGTGGCCGTTCTAACTGGGAGGATCTTGTTCTCTTCCCTTCCCAGGGGCTGTTGGGAACTCCTTGGAACCCTGGCGTGTCAGCCAGATTCTGAGGGGGAGAAGTCTTGAGTGACTTAGCAGGACCTTAAGTGCTAGTCAATTGACACAAGATCCTGCCTCCCTTGGGACAGGTTTGATGTTTGATGTGCTTTCCTGTCTTTTAAGGAGCATCTCCCTTGCTAAACCCACCACCACTGAGTCGATTCCAACTCATAGCAACCCTATATGACAGAGTTGAGCTGTCCAGTAGGGTTTCCATGGCTGTAAATCTTTATGGAAGCAGACTGCCACAGCTTTCTCCCTCAGAGCGACTGGTGGGTTCAAACCGCTGACCTTTCAGTTAGCGGCCGAGGGCTTTTAACCACTGCGCCGTCAGGGTTCCTTCTCTCCCTTGCTAACCCCACCTGAACTTCCTGACAAGTGTCCAGCTAACCCCACACACACCTCTCACAGAATCCTCTTGTCTTTAATGTTAAATGTCTCCCAGCCCAATTCTGAAGGAGCCATAGAAAAGAATTACAGCTGACTTATTTTCACCCATCCCCTCCCTAGAGCAGACCTGGCTCTGCCTGGGGTTGGCCGCGTGACTCTTTTAGGGACAGAGACTTGGGATCAGCTACCCTAGAGAAAAAGGGTTGCTAACGTGGGGAGTCCCAGGTCCTTTCCGTCTGGGAAAGGTAAAACACTGCCATCAGGGGGAAACAGGAATCCCTTAGTGTGAGTTCAGGGGTCGTCTTGGGGTGTATCCCCTGACCCCCAGCCAGTGGGTCGGCAATGCCACCTCTGCCCTGGGAAGCCTGCAGTGGGGTCTTTTCCGCTCAGGAGCCTCCAGTGTGGGTGTGCAGGGAGCTAGAAATAATGTTGTTTTAATACCTCTTCATCATTTAAAATTTCAAAACCGTTTGACTGTTTGCTGAACTGGGGAGGAGCCAGAGAATGCCTCTTAGAATTCCTGCTCCCCCAGCACCCGCAGGTCCCCTCCCTCTCTGTGCAGCCCCAAAGTTGGTGCTGTGAGTTGTAGCAGCAAATGCCCAGGACAGCGTGTCCCACTGCTCAGCAGCACAGGCTCTGGTTGCTGGGGCTGCCTGGGCAAGGTCTAACCATCTATCCATCTTCTGTGACCTCTCCCCACACCATCCCTCACACACACACACACACACTTCTTCACATGACAGATGCCGCTATAGCCCAGGGTCAAAGGGCACAAGGCCCCCACCCCTCACCCTCCCATCCCCGGGGCCTCAGGCCTCCAATGGGGCTCCAGGCCTGCTTTAGCCCAGATTCGGGGCCCACCAGAGTATATTTCTTCTCCCAAACCAACAAAAGATGCGGTTGAAATGCTCAGCCTTACCCTTTCTGGGGGTGGTTAATGGTGTCTTTTTTTTTCCTGAGGAGTGTTGATTAATACCTCGTTAACAGCGCATTGAACGACCTCCGGGTGTTTAATAACCTTCAGAAGTTTCCCACAAAGGCTTAGACGCTGGGCAAGAAAATGAGAACCAGGCCCCAGGGCTGCTCCCCTTACCTCCTCCCCCGCACCCGGGTCTGGGGCCTCCCTGAGCTGATGGGAGGGTGGAGAGAGGGAAGAGGAAGATGCTTGGGGCTGTCCCCTGGTCCCCGAAGTAACACCCAGGTGATCTGATGGTGGGACACTGAGTTGTTCCTTCCCTGGCAAACTGGACAGGAGACAGCTGCCTCCAGGGAGGGGGAGCTGAAAGGGCATGCCTGGGATGGATGGGCATAAGAGGGCAGGGGTGAATGATTGCCCGCAAGAGTGACTGGAGGCAGGGACACCCAGCCCCTGCGCTCCCTGACCCTCCCCCACTCTGCAGCTCTCCCTACCCTTCTGGACAATTCAGCCTCTGTGTCCCCACCCCACAGGGTGCTGCTTGTTGAGAGCACATCCGAGTTCCTAGCTGATGTGGAGTGTGCTGAGCTGAGGTGGAGTGTGCTGGGCGAGGCCAGGCAGAACAGGGCTCTCTGTGGATGCTGGTTGAGCCTGTGCTGCTGAGCAGCGGGACACGCTGTCCTGGGCATTTTCTGCTACAACTCACAGCACCAACTTTGGGGCTGCACAGAGAGGGAGGGGACCTGCGGGCGCTGGGGGGGCAGGAATTCTAAGAGGCATTCTCTGGCTCCTCCCCAGTTCAGCAAACAGTCAAACGGTTTTGAAATTTTAAATGATGAAGAGGTATTAAAACAACATTATTTCTAGCTCCCTGCACACCCACACTGGAGGCTCCTGAGCGGAAAAGACCCCACTGCAGGCTTCCCAGGGCAGAGGTGGCATTGCCTACTCACTGGCTGGGGGTCAGGGGATACACCCCAAGATGACCCCATAGTCAGGCTATGCTTCCCGTAGCCCCTGACCCACTGGGCAGCACTGAGCCCCTCCCCCAGATAATAGGAGTGGACAGTTCCCTGTGTGACCATGCCCCCAAATAACTGCGCTTCCCTGGCAACCAGCCCTCAGCACCACCCCTACTGATAGATGTGACCCCCTCCCAGGCAACAATGCAGAGAGAGACACCAGGAAGGTGCCCCTTAGACACTTTGTTCTCGTCAACGCTTGTTACCAATCCCGAGGGAGCTTGCTTTTCCTTCCCTCCACAAGACCTGAGGAGAGACAAAGCAAAGCTGCTAGAAAATGGAAATGAGGGGAAATAGAGAAGGATTGGAGTCAAGGAGGTGTAATACTTATTTGCTGGCTTATCTATTAGCGAACAGTATTCTTGGAAACATGCAGGCTGTGGAGTCAGAAAGGCATAAATCTGAATCCTAACTCCTTCATTTATCAGCTGTGTGACCTTAGGCGAGCAACTTAGCCGCACTGAGTCTGCTTCCTCGCCTACAAATTGGAGATAATAACAGTCCCTACTATGCCCTTTTAGGGTGGTTAAAAGAATTGAGTTACACATGTAAAGAACACAGCACAGTGCCTGGCACATGGTTAACACCTGGCATCCAGACCTGGCCATTTACCTGAGCAGCAAGAATGAGGGGCTGAGGTAGTCAGGAAGAACTGTGGCTGCAGGGGAAGGGAAGGCAGGCTTCTCAGGCAACCACACAGCTCTTCTCTTCTGGCCTGAGCTGAAGCAAAGTCCCTGGATGGCCAGGGCAGAGGGAGGGGGCATCTGACAGGCCAGCCCTCTTCTGTCCCCACCCCCACCCTGTGACCTAATGACCTGCCCCACACCTCCCCCAGCTGTATGGCTACTGCTACCAGGACAGCGAGGACATCCCCGACACCCTGACCACCATCACGGAGCTGGGCGCCCCAGTGGAGATGATCCAGCTGCTGCAGACTTCCTGGGAGGACCGATTCCGAGTGAGCAGGGGGGGGCCCTGGGCTCCTTGCTAGGATGGTTCTCCCTTAGAAGGCCAGCCCTCCTGAGCCACTTCTCCTCAGCCAGGGAAAGGGAGGGAGGGTGAGGAGGAGGGAGCAAAGGCTGACTCGGCTAATGGCCAAAGGGTTAAAAAAAGAAACAAGCCATAGAAGAGCCTGACCTTCTGTGCTCTTGCTTCCCCCACTCACTCACTCACACACACACACACACGCACACACATACACACTACACACACACACACACACACACACACACACACACACAGCTGCCGAGGGACGGTGTCCCGGGACTAGAAAAGACCTTCAGTTCACCTTGACTATCCTGCTTCCATACACTGAACTAAGATCTCCCTCAAGAAACAACTCCCAGGAAGAGATTCATTATCCCCAGTTACCCACTCCATATTACTGACAGGGTCAGGCCAGCCAAGGGTTAATAGAAAATTCACGGCCTCCTCTGTAACGACAGTGGCACAGTGGCCTCAGCCTGTAGTCAGCACTGAGACCTATAGAAGAGAAAGACCAACCTGAGCTAAATCCAGCTCCCCAAAGGAGGGGGCCGGCCCTGGGGTCCCCCAGGTCCCCCCAGGAGAGAAGCAGTGAATAGCCCTGTGTCTGTCCCTCAGATCTGCCTGAGCCTGGGCCGCCTCCTCCACCACCTGGCCCACTCCCCGCTGGGCTCAGTCACGTTGCTGGATTTCCGTCCTCGGCAGTTTGTGCTGGTGGACGGGGAGCTGAAGGTGACAGACCTGGATGATGCCCGCGTGGAGGAGACGCCGTGTGCCAGCAGCACAGACTGTGTACTCGAGTTTCCAGCCCGGAACTTCACCCTGCCCTGCTCGGCCCAGGGCTGGTGCGAAGGCATGAACGAGAAGCGGAACCTCTACAACGCCTACAGGTGACCCCCTGCCCTCTCAGGAGCTCCAGCAAGGGAGAGTGGGCCCAGGGCACTTGGCGAGAGAGAGCTGGCGTGGGGTCCAGGAGGCCGGCTAGGGGTAGGAGACTCGCCTTGACCAGTGGAGTCAGCAGGGGCAGGGAGGGGCCTCCTACCCAGTCAAGGAGGGAACATTCAGGCTCCTGGATGGTGAGGCTAAAAATAGACAGCTCCAAGGAGGATCTGGGCTGGGGGTGGCAGTTGGAGGCTTCCTAAAATAGTCTCGCGCTCAGAGCCCAGGGCTCGTGGGGCCGGCACTGCCCCCTCCTACCCTGACCCTGGCCCTTGACCTCTGGGAAGCTTCTCACTGGGTCCCAGCTACGGGGCTGCTCTGACACTGGGGGTCAGTGAGGGGGATGATGTGGGTTTGGCGTGGGGCAGGCCTGGGGAGGGGTGAGGGAAAAGAGACCTCATTGTCCAGTTTGGTATGAAGTGGGTGTGGCCTTAGCATGTGCCAAGATCTGAGCCCCGAGTCTGAGTAGACTCCACGGTAGACCCTGGGGATGTGCCTGATCGTGAGGCCAGGTTGGGGTTCTGTCCCAAGTTGGAGTAAAGGAAGAATGTGTCCCCAAAGGCTGGACCACTAAGCCCCTGCTTTCCCTCTGCTGCAGGTTTTTCTTCACATACCTCCTGCCCCACAGTGCCCCATCCTCACTACGGCCACTGCTGGACGGCATCGTCAACGCCACAGGTGAGCACTCCGGGGCCCTCTGCTTCTCACCACCCTGCCCCTTCCCCAGCAGGATGGGACCAGAACAGCCCAGGGCAGCACATGGTCCAGAAACATCATCTCCCAAGGTGGCGTTCTGTGGCTAACCCCTCCCTAGCTCAGCGGTCATCTGGGCCCAGGCTCCAGAGGGAGCGAGAGGTGGCTGGCTTGCCTCCCTGGGGAGGCGTGGGAGCCCAGGCACTCTCTAATAGCCACACCGCTGTGCAGGAGAACTCACCTGGGGCGTGGATGAGACCTTGGCCCAGCTGGAGAAGGCGCTGCACTTGTACCGGAGCGGGCAGTATCTGCAGAACTCCACCGCAGGCAGCAGAGCCAGTGAGTGGCCCCCCCAAGGGATCCCCAGGCTGGGCAGTGGGGAGCAGGTGGGAGGGTGAATGGTCCCCTGATTGGCTAGGTGGCTCACCTTCCGCCTGGGGACACTTGGAAATTCACCTGGGAGGTAGGGATGCGGAGACTGCTGACTGTTTAGCCTTCACCTTGAGGTCCTGTCTCGGGCTGAGCTAGAACAACTGTGGTTCTGCCTTGAACTGAGGGTAGGCCCTGACACCCCTTTTCTGGGTGGCTCCCAATCCCACCACTTACTAGTTCTGTGACTTTGAGCAAGTTACTCCATGAGCCTCACTTTGCCCATCTGTGAATTGGGTTCAGCATTACCCACTTCACAAAATTGTGTTGCAGACTAAATGCCAGGTGAGGTGTGTGAAAGCAATTAGCTCAATTCCTATTACACAGCAGGAACACAGCATGTGTTTGCTTTCTTTCTTACCTCCTGCCCTCCCAGGGCTTGGGGGGCAGCTGAAGGTGGAGGGGTCACCACTGAAAACAGCCCAGGAGCCCTGAGCCCTAGGGTGGGGGTGGGGGCACTCTGGCCACTGGTCACCGACTGTGGTCCCTCCACTGAGGCCCTGGGGTTTAGTTGTGGTTGGCAGGAGCGAGGGTTGGGCAGCCTCCCTATTCAAGGAGCTCTGGCCAGTCTTAGGGGTGGGGGAGCCCTCGTTAGCCCTGTAAATAAAGTTTAACGAGGTGAACAATGGCTAGCTCTGTCCCTGAGGACTCGGTTTATGGGGCTGTAAATCACAGCCAGCCCTGGACTTTGGTCTAGTCCCTGGTAGGAGAAGGAGGCAGGAGGGCGGGGTGGCCAGAGGCCCAGGGCGTCTCCATTATCAGCCCAGGTCTGGGGCTCCCCGAGCAGTGGGAAGAACTTGGGGTGAACGGGAAGCCTATAGCTGAGCACCTTTCTGACGATGAGGAATTTTCAGAGCCTCCACTGGTCTTCCTGTAAAATGAGGGAATCACAGATTCTTCCTCCAGCCCCCTAGCCAAGCACTCAAGCTGTTGATTCCAAAGTGGTAATTGTTGTGTTTTACACTCGCTTGCATGCCTCGCAACTTCAAAAATCCCTGACTGCCTCCCAGGCACATCCAAGGAGTTTGCCAAGCCTCTCCCCAAGCTAGAGAGGAAGTGGGACGGAGGGTGCTACTTAAAGCTGGCCTGGAAGCTGGTTAGAAATACAGATTCTCAGGCCCCACCCCAGACCTACTGAACCAGAAATTGCATTTTAACAAGATTCCGCTGATAAGTCACATGCCCACTGGAGTGGGAGAGCCCGGCTCTAAGTATCTAACGCTGTGCCCTCAGCAGCCAGCCTGGACAGCCGGTGGCTCTGTGTGTACACCCACACGCATGCATGTGCCTGCCACCCTGTGTCTGCGTGAACCAGCTTCGTGTACTTCGTGTGGAAGATGTGTGTGCGTAGGGGCGATTCCTGGATGGTGCATACAGTTAACGCACTCGGCTGCTAACTAAAAGGCTGGAGGTTAGAGTCCATCCAGAGGTGCTTCAGAAGAAAGGCCTGGTGATTTACTTCTGAAAAGTCAGCCATTGAAAACCTTATGAGGAGTCCCTGGGTGGCACAAATGTTTAAGTGCTTGGCTACTAACCAAAAGGTTGGCAGTTCCAATCCACCCAGAGACGCCTCAGAAGAAAGGCCTGGTGATCTACCTCTGAAGGATCCCAGCCACTGACAACCCAATGGAGCACAGTTCTACTCTGACACACATGGGGTTGCCGTAAGTCACAATCGACTTGAAGGCAACTGATTTTTTTCAAGTGGTGTGCATTTTGCCTTTATTAAGTTTTGCCTTTTTTGAGCAGTCAGCCCAGTTTCAACAGGGGGGCTGCTTTCATCTCCATATTGGGAGAACTGGCCTGGGCCCTCGGCATTATTCTAAGAAGTGAGTCTCACAGCCCTTTTCAGGAAGTGCCCCAGTCCTCACTCCTGAACACCCAGAACTGTCCTGTTCTCATTCGCACTCCATCCCCACCCCACAGAGTACCAGCGAATCCCAGAGAGCTCCATCCCCCAGGAGAACTACCGCTGCTGGCCCTCCTACCATCACGGTAGCTGCCTCCTTTCGGTGTTCAGCCTGGCTGAGGCCACGGACATCTGTGAGAGCCACACCCAGTGCCAGGCCTTTGTGGTCACCAACCAGACCACCTGGACAGGTGAGCCGGGGGGAGAGAGCATCCCAAGGGGGAGGTGACTGGGCTTCCCTGGACAAGGCTGACAGGTGGTGGTGGGACCCCAACAGAAGCCAGAGGGGAGGCTGAGATGACGAGAGAGAAGCATGTGTGTGCCCTCACAGCAGTTGCATCAGGGAGAGGCCTTGCCACCAGGGAGAGAAACATCCAGTCCTATTACCTCTCACCTCTGTCTTCAGGTCGGCAGCTGGTCTTTTTCAAGACGGGGTGGAGCCAAGTGGTCCCTGCTCCCAACAAGACCACCTACGTGAGGGCCTCTGACTGACCTGTCTGAGGGCTTAGCTAACCAGCTGCCCTTCCTGCCGGCTGGGTGTGTCTGTGGAGAGAGTGACTTGCACCAGCAGTACTCACTGTCACCTTGGAACCCCTGCAGACAAGGCTGACATCCCAGACAGACCGACGTGACCAGGACAAATGTGCAATAATGCAAAACATTAAAATGTGAGTTTACCAGCCTAGATATTGACTGCTGGCTTCAGGGCCAGGAATTCTGGGGCGCTGACTGCCTCTCCAGCCCTCTGGGCTGCAAGTAAGGCACAGGCTGGCCTCCCTTTGGGGAGCCGTCCCCCTCACCGGGACAATTCCGTGGGCAGCCCCATCACTGTGTTCATAGCGTGAGAATGTAGCCAAGGCCCTGCCGCCACCGCTGCTGCTGTGCACATGCCAAGGCCGGGTGGGGGGCTGCGTGAGGACAATCGGTCACGGGGTGTTCTCTCAGCCGAGCTCTGGACAGGAGACTTGTCTGGGAGATGCTCCAGGGCGTGGGTGACTCTGGCCTCCCGACAGGGGGCGCACACGGGCCAGCCCAGGGGGCAGCGGCAGAGGAGCACACACCCGTATGAGCCAAGACTTGGGGTCGAGGAGCAGGTTGCAGTTTGAGCCAGGACCTGGGGCGGGGGTGAGGTGGGGCCTTTCTGCCTTATTTGCTTTCAGTGAAAGCAGCAAAGCAGCCAAGACCAGGCTCTCCCCCTCCTGGAGTTTGTATATCCAGAAGCTTTGTACTTCTTGTTCATTAAATTGTTTATTTTTGTAAAAAAAAAAAAAAAAAGTATATATATATCATTCAGTTAATAAAATGACATTTCACGGCCAAGACTCTTCCCAAGCCACAGTTTCTTGGGCTGTCACTTACTTGTCCTCAGTTGTGTCTTTGGTGTGGGGGGGGGTATGTGTGTGTCACAGGGAATGACCTTTGGGGAGAAAAATCTCACTGGCAGACACTGAAATCCACAAAATGAGTTTTCAGGCCCTGCTCCCACAGTGCCCCCCTTCCTTCTCAGCCCCCACATTCATGTTCCAACATAAGAGTGTGCCTTCTTCCCCCAAGGAGGTTTATACTTTAACACAGGGCTTCTGGTATTCAAGGCCTTAGTCCAAAGGAGCAATGCCCTAATGGCAGGATGTCAGCCATTAGTTGAATCAGTTGGTGGAGAAATACTTTCATGAAGGAATCATTGGAGAACACCCAGCAACCCCCACACCAGCTGGGACAACTTGGTGCAGAGTGGACCTGGCCATCATCACCACCGCCTACCACAAGATGCTGAGGGCACTTTTCTTTTTTAGACTCTTTCTCTGAGCAGGAAAATAGGGAGAGTGGGGAGAGAGGAAGATCTCTGTAAAGACCAGCCCCCTCTTTCTGGATTTCAGGAGGGGAGGTCTAGCAGAGGAAGGTCCAAATGTGTAAAAGCCCACAATGAAAACAGACTTGACTTCAAGATCACATTGAGGTTGGAGAGAGCCCCAACATGAATACAGATTTACTCAAAATCCCACACCCTCTCTCCTATACACCAGTTGGCTTCTAGAACATTCTTAAAGGACACAAACATTTGAGGCCTTAAAGGGTAGTCAGACTTTATCTTAGAACCTGATTTCTCCTCAACAGATGTGGTTGGCATAATTTTTCACATACAGGATGTCCCTGTAGTTCTAAATGATTGATGAGCTGATATTAACTCTGGATTCCTCGTTATGGATGCTGTTCTGACCCTCAGAGGCCAAGGGAGAGCCCGATTAGAGCTCACCACCACCATCCCCAACTCACGCCCCCACATCTTGCCCCTGGCTATCTGGGCTTGGTGACTATGGAGGAGAGTGGAGGTACAGGGTTATAGCTTCTAGTGAGCCTCACCCTAATACTCTTCCTCTCAAGCAAGCCAAATCCTACCTGTCAATCCCCAAGCCTCAGAGAAAGATTCCCAGATGAAGGTCTCAGCCTCCAAATCTCTCTCCCTAGCTGAATTCACACTATACAGCACCTGTAGCCTGCCCCAGTCCATCCAGTGTTTGATTTTACACTGCCCTCTGTTACTCTTCGACTTTCAACTAGTCTGTGGGGTCTCTGAGGGCAGGAGGAACCACGTCACCAGCTGGGCCCAAGAAGGAGCCAGAGTTGATGAGGACCTGAAGGGAAGGGGGCTAGGGCAGGAAGGTCCCCAAGGGACACGAAGACCCAGTTACAGTCAGCAGAAAGGCCCACAGTCATCCAGCTACCACGTGACTCGGTGGAGAAAGAGAAGGTTGAAGAAAAACAAACTACTGCCTTTCAGGTTCCCAGAGGTTTCCAGATGAGGGATTCACTGGCCTGTGGAGGACAGAGGGACATGACACAGTGCCAGGCTCCAGCCTCGGCGAGGTACAAATATCATTCCAGTTTTTCAGACTGGAAGACTGAAGCCCAGGTCACAGTTGCTAAGTGATTTCATAAACATTCAAATCCAGCCCTGGCTTCAGAGCCCATGCTCTGTTCACTACTATGCGCTGCCTCCCGGAAGAGGGTGACTTGCAGCAAGAGGAACCTAAGTTAGAGTTTGGGAAGATGGTCCTTCCTCTGAGTACTTCCTTATTTTGACACACAAAGATGGAGGTCCAAAGGGCATAGAGTCTTTTGAGAATGACCAGCCCACAGGCATCCGGAGTGACGATAGGCAGCTTTTCCCATGGTGAGTGATCCTTGCCTCTGAACTTATTTCTGGGGCAAAAACGGGCCAGGCTCAGTCCTGCAGAGTAGAGAAGAGGCTATTTGCATTGCAACTGGGAACGGAGAGGTGATGCAGTGCCCAGAAAAGAGGGAAATAGTGAGTGAAAATCTAAGGCAAAATTATTCCTTCCCCCAAATGGCCGTTTTCGTGTAGCCACCTGTCTCTCTGGAGAACGTTCAGGTCCTCAGTGCATCTAGTCGTTGTTCCTGCCCAAGCCGGAGCCTTATCCACCCCCTACCGCCCCCACTCCCACCTCCCCTAAGCCTGCGTTCTTTCTACTCCACTGCACTGCTGGTGACATCCAGGTGTTGTGGACGGAAGAAACAAACTCACTCAACTGAAGCCTCAGGCAGAGGTTGATGTGTGCCAGAGAAGAGAGGTGGGGAAAGGGGTCCTCTCTGGGGTAGGGGAAGCAGGGTCGTGCTGCCGAGTAGTTCCCCTACAAAGCTCTGGAGCCTACCAGAGCCAGGCAGGACACTGGCCTGTTCTGCTTTGGGTTCCCTGTGTGATCTGGCCATGATCCCTGAGCCCCCATTTCCCCATCTGCAAATCTCAGATTGATAATATCTGCTTCACTGGAGTGTTACGGAATTAAATGGAATGATGTACATAAAGTTCTTAACCAGTGTTGGTAAACAGTAAGTGCTTAGGAAATACTAGCTGGAGCTGTTGTTGTTGGTAGTGAGCCGAGCTCTCGACATTCATCCATGGACTGGCCTGGAGGAGCATCCAGGTGGGTTGTGGAGGACCGAGACATGGGTCAGACTGCCCTGCACCATGCCTCCAGCCCCCCCATTCCCACCCCAACAGGGGGCACGGCCATTGCCTGGTGGGTATGAATCCCAGCTCTCTTTCCGGGTCAGTGTCCTGGGAGTTGGGTGTGTGGCAGACAGAAGGAGGAAGAGGATTAACAGGAGAGCAGAAAATGGGATTAGGAAGGCTCAGCGTAACATGCCCACCCACCCCTCATCCATGACAACAGTGTGTGGCTTTCACTCTGTGGCTTCTGGGGCCCAAAGCATGTAAGATTTTGTTGCCCCTGCTCCCAGGGGCAGAAAGGAGATTCGGTGAACTCAGAGTATGAGACTACCCAGTCTGCTAGGAAGAGGGGCCAGCTACTACTGGCTATAGGCCAGGCCTGAGTGTCTTTGCTGTATTTTTCACAAATAACACGCCTATGTAAAGAACGCACACACACACAGAGTGCACATAACATGTTTAGGTGCTTAGGAAAACAATGCATGAGGAGATGGCATGCTTAGGAAAAAACGTATTTACGCATTATTTGCATAAAAATACAGTATAGGTGATTTCTCATTTAATCCTCACAGCAAAACTGTGAGGTGGGCAATAATCCAGAGAGGTGAAGAATCTTGCCCAACGTCACGTAGCTAGTCGGTTCAGAGCCAGGATTCAAGCCTAAACTATTGCATTTGAATGTCTGTGTTCCTTCCCCTTTACCCCACTGTCTCACACAGGAGCACAGCTTCCCCCTAAACCACAGGATCAATGAGCTACTCACACCAGCCACTTCTGTTGAGAAGGATTTCCAGGGCCAAATCCTGCCTTCGATGGGAAGCCCAAAAAGCAATTTGAAGAAACCAGATCTGCTTCTCTGGCATCATCCCACAAGAGTGAGGATGTCCCCAAAGAGCCCAACCTTCTTCAAGGACCCCGTTGAGGTCTGTTCTGTGGTTGTTTGTTGTTTAGTGCCATCAAGTCAATTTGGACTCATAGTGACCCCATGTGACAGAGTAGAACTGCCCCATAGTGTTTTCTAGGCTGTAATCTTTATGGGAGCAGATCGCCAGATCTTCCTGTGGAGCGGCTGGGTGGGTTCAAACTGCCAACCTTTCAGTTAGCAGCTGAGCACTTCACCATTGCACCACCAGGCCTCCTTGGAGGTCTGTCCTGCAGGATTTTAATTTTTCCCTGTTGGTCTCTCTGTGAATCCCAGCCAACGCTGCCTGCTTGAGTGGAGCAAGTACCCACATCAGTCTCAGTTCTGGGAAGGAAACAGATCATGATTGTCTTCAAAGTACCTCTCAAGCTCTAGAGGATCCCTGACAACACTCCAGTCAGCAAACCCAGATCAGGGCATTCAGCCTTCTTCCTTCCAGACTGTGAGCCCTTGTCCTCCTGCCCCATCCCCACCCCTTGCCCCCTGCCCCCACCTGCATCCTCTCACATGCCCTCCTCTGGCCTCATTTCAGCTCCAGAATATCTCTACTGAGGTGCAGTGACAAGACCTCTCACCTGTATCGGTCAGGGTCCCAACAGGAAACAGAGAGAACACTCAGCATAAGATAAACTTTAAAATGTGTGGTGCAACAGAAGAACCCCATGGGATAGCACTGTGACGTGGCATTAGCAGCAGCCGGGCCATTATCATTCCTGCCTGAGGGAAGGGAGTTGGCGCCATCACCAGAACCCAGAAGGAGAGTCCTGTACAGCTGGCACCTCGAGAAGAGAAGTGACCGAGGGACACAGCCAGACAAAGTGACTGCACAAGGAGGGAACCAGAGAAACACATAGTCTGACCTCACCCTCCTTCCTTCCTCCCTCCAGTCCCCTGCTGAGCTCACCATTGGCCAAACCCAACTTAAAGTCAAAGGACAAGGGAGAATGAGATTCCCACTGGTCAGCCATCCAGGACAGAGAGCAGTGTGAAGAGGGCTGGAGAGCAGGTGAGAAGGGGCAGACAGAGGGCATCGGCACACCACCCTCCTTCATCTCTGAGCCTTTGTTTGGTTTCACAGGAGGGCAAGAAATTTTGGCTGTTGTTGTTCCCAATTCCATTCTTAGATTTTGAGGTATTTGTTGTTCTGGTTAGATGAAGTAACACACTGGGCCCAAACCTTCAGGGAATCATCTATAGCATGCATTTCTAATGGGGGCAATACCACCCCCCAGGGACAAAACTTGGTTCTTGGGGGATGAAAAAAATCTTAGATATTAAAATGGTATGTAGCCCCCCAAAGGGCCACAGTACAAAAGAGATATACAGTATATCTGTGCTATTAAAATTTCATGGGGGGATGTTATGGATTGATTGTGTCCCCCAAAAATGTGCGTCAACTTGGCTAGGCCATGATTGCCAGTATTGTGTGGTTGTCCAC